AGTCAGAGCTCACTTTGCTTGAAGAGGCAGAGAAGAAGAAAGCAGAAGAGGCAGACAAGAAGGAAAAGAATGAAAAGAAGTGAATTAGAAGGACAAAAGATGAGCGAGGAAGCATTCCATCGTTCAGCTTTTGTTCAACCTGCCGGACTGAACAATATGACTGCAATGCTATCATCCATGCCTAAGATTGAAAAATGTTGAACGTTCAAAGCGTCACCACCCACGTCACCTTTTGGTGCAAAAGAAATGTGGAAGCCGCGCAGGTGGGTCAACCAGACGATCAGTAAGGCGAGCCAAGAAGGCAGATCGGGATGCCCTTCTTACAAACCTTGCAAGGGGATGATGGGAGTTGCTCTTGAAACTACCCAGATGGCCACCTTACAAAAAAAATCTGGAAATACGCAAATCCTGTTTTAGATTTTTGATGAGCTGATACAATGAAGCTGTACAAAGCGAGAACTTACCTGGTACCTTTGTTGAGGGCGCAGCTAAGAGGAAACTTTAAAAGGAAGAATCCCAACCTCCACAGTGCACACCTGAGCTGCCGCCTTGCTGCCTGTCGACAAAGCAGTCTTGCATTGTTTGCGTTCAATCTTTCTCGCACTGTGGAGGTCACTTTGGCTTCTCCACCTTTAAGGTTGGTTTCTTGCTTTTTTGTGTTTTCAATCCACTTTTACCACCCGCACACTTTCCAGCTGAACAGCCAGCAGAACCAAGCCAACAGACACGCAAACGCACCACACACTAAAGCCACTTTTTGACCATATAATGACACACACCACACTCTAACTTAGACCTTACAGCAAACCGAAAAACCCTTGAAGTTAGCAAAGAGCCAAGCCTGCGAAATCTAAGTACACTGGATTGGCAAGAGCTTGTTTTTTTTTGATGGTTTTTGGAAACTTTTGTTGGTTGTTAGTTTTTGGAGTTCCATCACCAGGAGTTCTCTGGATTGCGCTGGCCGCGCTCACGACGGGCGGCGGACGAACCTTAGCAATGCGCAGGCGTGGCCCGGACAGACCACCGGGACCTGCTGGTGGGCACCAACACCATTCGCCTTCGTCTTCCAGGCCATCGCGACCGCCCTGCCCGCCTCAACGCCACGCCGGTGTTGGTGCCGATGTTCGCGGTGTTCCCGGTCGTGGTTTCCAAGGACGTGTACTGCGTCAGCACGGTGGCTAGCTGCCCGGCGGTGATGCTGGAGTCTCCGTTGTTTGGCCGTCATTAAGGATGTTTTCTGTGATGGTGCTATTCGAAGAGGCTTATGCTTTTTACATCTCAGTCGAGCACGCTCACGCCCGAAGATGATTTGAAACGAAAGGAGGTGAACGTGGACCTGCTGCGCGCGGTCCGCCTGCATGTTCTTGAAGGTGAAACGCGCGAGGTCGCCGGAGCGTGTCGATGCCTGAGAGCGGGTGCTTGGGCAAACGCGGCGATGAACTGCGTGTCGTCGAACTCGAGGCGGTTCAGGCGCATGTTCCGGATCTTGGAGTTGTAGGCCCCCGCTATGATCCCAAGAAGTGATGATGCTCGGCCATGCTGGCCATAGGGCATCTTGGATAAGTCAGAGCCCCGAGTTGCATCTGGCTTTCCAGCTGCCCGTTCACCGCGGGATATTCCAGATTCATCACCTCGCCCAAGGCGTCGTCGGCGTTCTTCAAGGTCACGAAAGCGCCCATGAGCTTGGTGAAGGCCCTCGCGACGGTGACGTTGACTGGTGAAGCCCGCGGGGAACGATTCCACCAGAGCGCTGTCCAGCGTCACCTGCAAGGCCAGCGCGCGCACGTTCTCGATGCTGCACCTCGGTGGAGCCGTTGCCTCCCGGCCAGAGCGCGTCCGCGGCCTCGGCGAACTCGATCTCCAGCACCAGGTTCAGCTGCGGTGGCAGTATTTTGCCCGATTGAAACAGACCGATGAGGGTCGGGGCATCAGCACGTCCTTGAAGTTCCCGTCCAGGATGGCGGGCCGAGTTGCCCAGGTTCGTGGGGTAGAAGCCCTCGTAGGCCCGGCCGTCGTACCATTCCTGAGAGGTTTCAGCAGGCTGTAGAGCCAGCAGCTGCGGCCGTCGTCGGTGATGTCATCGGTGCGCTGGCTGTTGCTGTACAGCTGCACGCGCTTGATGAAGCAGCTCTCGAAGGAGCCGGGGAAGACCTGCCCACCGCTGCTGTCGGTGTTCCACACCCTAAACGCGATTTTCACGCTCTCAGGGTCGATGAAGTGCATCCGCTGCTCAGCGGGATCCTGGCCACGCGGCTGGTCGTGGGCGTGAAGGTGCTCAAGGAGCTAGGGAAGAACTGCACAGACCTTCTGCAGAGCCATAGTTTACGTTGCTCGTCGCGAGCTTGTAGTCCAAGCTCTGCATGAGCTCATCCTAGACGGCTTTGGGTGACGTTCGAGGTTGCTCCTGAGCTGGTCGAACGAGGGCTCGGGCAGCAAGGCGCGGCTGGAGCGGCGGCTCTGCTGCCTGCCGGCGGCGGAGCTGTCCGCTCGAGCGGCCCTGCGGCCTCGGCATGCTGGACGCGCCCGGTTCAGGCCGAAGGGCAGCGCGGGCTGCCGCCCCTGCCGGCTCTGCAGCATCGGCTGGGCTCTCGGCTCCGCCTCCGAGTCCGCTCCTCCGAAGCTCCTGCGGAGCTGCTGCGCACGCCCGCCTCCTGCATGCCGTTCAGCGTCCACGTCCACGGCCTGGACCTCGACTGGTAGCTGTGCCTCCGCCCCCTCGCCCCAGCCCCAGGAAGTGCTCGGCCGCCATCATGCCGCCGTGCAGCCCACCAGGGCCACCCCCGCGCCCGCCACGGCCAGGCCGCCCGCCGCCCCCGCCCACCGTTGCTCGCCTCCCCCGCGGCGGCCAGCCCGGAGGCGATGGGCCCGCATGACCGCGCCTCCCCCGCGGCCTCCGCGGCCGCCGCCGCCTCGGCGCCCAAGGCCGCGGCCTCCGCTGCGGAAGTGAAGCCTTCGGCCTCCGCCTCGGCCATCTGGAGGCCTTGATGTCCTGCACCGCCTGGCGCTCCACCTCCGTGGCCCGCTGGCCCGCCCGCTCCAGCAGCGGTGATCTGTGGCGGCGCCACCTGGTCGGGTGGGGGCGCCAGGCCCTCCGGCGTCCTGGGGATGCGCAGCGTGCGGTCCAGCCACTGCCGGCCCCGCAGCCCGTGGTGGTAGAGGTCCCCGGAGTGGGCCGCGATGGAGGCCACAGAGCCCACCGCGCCCGCCGCCGCGCCCGCCGCGGCCTCGGCTCTGGAGCCCCCCCAGCAGGTCTCCCAGGCTCGGGGCGTCGGGCAGTGCCAGCCCGTCCTGCCTCAGCGCTTGGCCGGGGTCCGCTCCCAGGTCACTGTCGGAATCGGCATCGAATGGCCTTGGGCGCAGGAAGTCCCGGCGCGGGAACTGCCGCGGTAGCCGTCCTCCTCGCGGGCGTCCTCGAAGGCCTCCGCGGGGTTCAGGTGGGTGTGGGGCAGTGGCTCGTCGCTCAGGGGCTCGCTGGATGCGGGGTAGTCGTCCAGCCTGAAGTGCGAGCTCATGTAGATGGAGGCATTCCGGTTCGGGAGCCCGAGGGCCAGGGGCTCGCCTTCCTCGATGTACCCCAGCACCAGATGAGATACAACTTCCTGTCTTTGTCGATGACGCTTCACTGAGCTTGCGATATGTGAGTTACAGGCTGGTAGCAGGGATCGTCCATCATGGATCTCTGCCACAGAATGGACACTACACTTGCATTCTGAAAAGTTCTGACCATGGCAATATGTATCACTGCGATGACCATGCTGCTCCTCAACCAATTTCCGATTTCGATGAAATTGCTTGCAAGAACTTATATGCTTTGATGTACATATCAGCAGAGTGATGTGATGGGAAAGGCATTTCCTTTTCGCTGCCGACTTAATGTCGTATGTTCCACAGTGTTTCAAGATGGCTTTGTAGCTGTCAGGGGGGGATCCAAGAGATTACTGCAAATTCAGTGTCTCTCGCATGCATTACCGGCCATTCGTGGTGTCTTGTATGTGCCAATTCGTGCAGCTGTGTGGTAGGTTCTAAGTTCTCGTGATGTTGTACATTCAACATGTGCTCCGGAAGCACCGGGCCCTCTGGGCTTGCACGTGTTACCGTCGCAGGGCGAACTAGCTGTTCCGTTCTCACACCGAGATGTTCAGACTTCGCTGCGTGCAAAGTGCAAAAGTACCCCAGCACCTGGCCGAAGTTGGGGCGCACCCTGAAGCCGTACTGGCGCCGCTCCTCCATTGTGTCTTTACAGCATGCCCCCGTGAACGCCGCTGTCCGCCGTGTTCCTTCCCGCCGCGACGTCCCTCGCCATCCGCCGCACCCCCGCCCGCTCCGCCGGGGCGTACCGCAGCTGGGGCACGCGCCGGTTCACGGCCTCCGTCAGCCGGCCCACCGCGTCGGTGTACTCCTCGCCCTCCTTGCGCGTCCGGCGCTCCTCGAGCCACTTGTTGAAGGCCCTGGCCTCCAGGAGCTCGTTGTAGCGCTTGTGCAGTAGTGGGTTCAGGTTGTAGCTCGGGTACTTCTGCCAGAAGCTCCTGAGCATCTGGGGCTCGTTGCGGCGCTCCAGGGGCATCATCCTTTTAGCTCTACACGTCCATGGTGTTCGCCGTGGAAGCGGTTCTGCCGGCTGATCTGGCGCATCATGCGCGCCTGCGAGGGCGTCAGATGGAGGGGGCGCTGCTTCGGCTTGGGCTCCGGCTCGGGCTCCGGCTCAGCAGGAACCTCGCTCGCCGGCTGCGGCTGACCGCCTCCCCCAGCGTCGGCGGCGGGGACCGTCTTCGGCGGCGGCTTGGGCTTGTTCTTCGAACCGGGCGGCCTCCCCCTGCGCTTGGGCACTGGTGCTCCGGCGTCCTCAGGGGCGGGCACGGCCACCACCCCAGGCCGAGTGGGAGGGGGAGCGGGGGCGGGATCAGCCATTGCAGGAGCCTCTCCCACCAGCTCGGCTGCTCCAGCAGGTTCCTCCGCCTCATCTGCCATGCCAGCGGTGCCTTTTGCTTTCTTCGGCCCCTTCATTTTTCTGGGTCGAGGAAAATCGCGAAGCTGACGGACGTGCCTCGGGTGTTCACCTCGTTGCCGTTGACGTCCGTCAGCCGAAAGTTCAGTGACCGCAGCGTGATCGGGCCCCTGAGCTCCACGAAGTGCCCGTCGTCGGTCTGGTCCTTCATGACGTGCCCCACGCCTCGGTCCACGATGACCTTGCAGATTATGTCCGTTCCCAGGGGGCCCAGGATGTGGGCCGCGTTGCCCAGCTCGCGGCATCTAAGGTAGACCTCGTTGTAGGCGTTCATAGACACCCACGGGAAGATCTGCAGCGCGCCGTCCAGGTAGCTGCCGCCCAGCAGGTGGTTGCTCTGCGGGCGGGTGGCCGAGGCGCCCTGGGGGTACCCCGGGCCGTTCGGGAACAGGTCCCGGAGCTCCGCGTCCGAAAGTATGCGGCGATTCGAGTCGTAGGCCACCTCGATGGCGTTCGTGGCTTCCACGTAGGTGGCGGCCGCGAAGTTGGAGGAGATCCAGGCTGCCAGCCGCGCGCCGGTGTAGGCGCCCACGGGCAGCTCCGCCGTGTTCAGCGTGCCCAGGGCCACGTCGATCCAGTACAGGTGCGTGCCCCTGTCGGTGCTCAGAAACGCGTCCGCGATGCGCACCTTGTAGACCGCCATTTTGGCGCTCGTCTGCATGTGCAGCGTCTCCGGGAGCTCGAAGGTGAAGTTGCTGTCGGAGCCCGAGACGCGGTTCCTGGAGTCCACGTAGATGGTCGTCATGGCGGGCTTGTTTCTCCTAAACCGGAACGGCGTTCGGGAGAGCCCGCTGGCCGTGGACTCACCCGACACGCCCTGCTGGCCCCAGCCAGTCGGCAGCGTGGCCAGGCGCGGGTCGTGGACGTTGGGCTGGCTACTGCTGCTGCAGCACCTAATGTTGCTGCACTCGCTTTCGATGATCGGCCCGCCCCCAGCAGCTTGCTGGCCGCCGCCGACAGGAAGCCGCCCATTTACCGGCTGCTGGGGCTCCGCGGCCTCCGCGGGCTCCGCGGCGCCGTCCAGCACGAAACGCTCCTCCCAGCGCTTGTAAAACATGTTCGCCTTGTCCTTGAGGTAGTGGATGAACCAGAAGCTGTAGGGCTCCCGCATGGCCTCCTGGTACATTTGGAGGAGCTCCTGCTTGGGCAGCAGGGCGCTGAGCTCCTCCAGCACCGCCTCCAGCTCCAGCTGGTTCCGGAGCCGCCAGATGCAGATGAACTGCATGTTCACCCTGACGGCGGCTCTGATGAGCCGCAGCTTCTGCGAGGACACCCAGGTGCTGATCTGCATGTGGCGCCCGCGGATGAACAGCGTGTCCAAGGCGCCGTCCCCCGTCCTCCGGTGCAATTCCGGCTGATCCGCGAAATCGTCGCAGATGATGAGCACCTGGTAGAGCCTTTTGAGCCCGAGCTGCTTGGACGTTCTGGTGACCTTCTTTTGCTGCTGTATGATGGTGCGCAGTGCCCCCTCGTCCCACTTGTCGAAGTAGACCTGCTCCCTTTCGGTGTTCACGCCCATGTCCTTCTCGATGAACTCCTTCACGGGCCTCCAGCCGTGCACCCGCGGGACCACGCTGTCGCGCGGCTGCTTCGAGGTGTACTCGGGGGTCGGGAAGAGTTTGACCTTGCCCATTCTTTACACCTCCCGATCAGCCGCTGACAGGCGGCCAGCTCGTCGCAGAGCCGCGGGGGCATGCTGTAGAGCTGCTGCTGGCTCTGCTGAGAACCTTTTCGCATAGCAAGCAGATGTGGGACCTTACAGCCCTGCTATGGGGAAAAACAAAAGCAGAGCAAGCAGACCTGAGACCTTACAGTCCTCCTATGGGGGTAAAAATACAAAGGCCTGTTAATTTGGGCTGTAAAGGTGCGTCTTGCAGGGGTGTGGCTGGGGCGGTGCCATAAGCAAATGGAATGGGCACAGACCTTTCGGCCACTTCTTGGGTCCATCCGCGGCGGCCGGCGGTCGTCCCCCGCTGTGCTGCCTCGGGGTGGATGCCGTCCGCGAAGGCGGCGCAGCGGCTGCCTTTGAGGCACATGGCTTCCGAGGGCCGCCAAGGCAGGTTGTGCCAGATCCTCGTGGCCTTCCGGTACCGGTACCCGTACTTGCAGTAGCAGACGTCCGAGAAGGGCAGCCCGTGCATGAAGGGTCCCCGTCTGCGGGTTCTCCAAGGCCCGCCACTGCGGGCGCAGGTTGCGGATGACCTCGAGCGCTCGTAGCACGAGGCGGTCCCCCGCCTCGAGGTTGCGGGGCCTCTTCCGCAGCGCCTGGGAGTACTCGGTGCACACAGGGCTGGCCCAGACCATGTCGAAGTGCCCCAAAGAAGTCTCGTCGAGCTCCATGATGTCGCAGCAGACGGTGGGCTCGAACTTGGGATCGAGGTCCACGGAAACGACCTCCCAGCCCCTGTCCCGGAAAGCGCGCCCGATCGACCCCGTGCCCGACAAGAGCTCAAGGAGCCTCATACTCTTTGATGGGATCGCAAAGGTACCACACGAAGACGACGAGCCCCGCGAGCAGGCAGGCCAGCTCGAGGTTGCACATGACGCACTCACGCAGGGTCATGGGCGGCAGCGGGCGTTGGGGATCTTGGTCGGACAAGTCCATGGCCTTTTTATGGAAGGGTAAATAGAGCCGCCGGCTCGCCAGCGGAAGAACATGGCATCAAGGCAGAGCTTCGAGCTGGGCGAGCTGCTCACGAACGCAAAGGGAGGCAAGTACCTGCCGCTCAAGGCGGCGGACGGAGTCGTGCCCGCGTGCCGCGTGGACCCCCGACATGGCTGCGCATCCTGTGGCACCCCACCGCCTTCGGCGACGCCGACGCCCGCCGCGTGAACGTCTGCTTCGAGCCGGATGAGTCCGTCGAGCAGCACTTCAAGGTTGTGGAAAAGGAGCTGGCGTCCAAGCTCTGTTCGGCCGCAGCCTCTCACCCTCCGACCTGGAGGCGCGGCTGCAGTCCTGCCTCAAGACCAGCCAGCGGGGCACACCCTTCCTGAAGGCCAAGCTCAACTGGGACAGGGTGCGCTTCTGGGACACGCAGCGCCAGGGTGCGCCTCGAGCTGCGCCAGGTCTGGGTGATGAACCCCCAGTGCGGCCTGCTGTTGGAGGTCACCGACCTGCAGCTGCAGGAGAGCGAGCCGGCCAAGGTCGAGTGTTCCTTTGCCTGACTGCTAGAAGAAAGGGTGGCGGGCGCCCGTGGCACAGGCCTGCCCCCAAGGCCCCCCGCGGCAGGGGCAGCTTACAGCAGCCGCCGAATTCGTTTCTGAGACATCAGCCACTCCCCTCTAATTCGTTTACGGACCCGAAATCTGCTCGGACGGATTTTTTTTTGCCGGACCAGAAAGAAGAAAAGGAATGAGTTGGGCGCAACAGCGCGAGCAGATCCGCTGCGCGGCCGAAGCCGGGGTCAGGCCAAGGGCCTCGGCGCTAGGCTCCCAGATTCTGCCCCTCCGCGGGCAGGGCGGCCAGTCTGCCCAGCTCACGCGCCCAAACGGCGCCCTGACGCGAGCCGGGCAGCTGTACTACCAACTTGCAGGCCGCCGGCCGCCGAGCCGTCAGTTCGACGAGTCGCAGCCGCTGATCCGCGAGGGCGCCTCCGATTACATCCTGCTGCGCAGCGGCGTGAAGAAGCTAGCGCGCACATTGGCGCCGGACGGCAACTACCACCTTACGAAGCTGGGCAAGGCCTTCTTCAAGGAGAAGTACACGGAGTGGCTGGCCCACGTGCCGGTGCGGATCCGCGGCCGCCGCAAGAACGGCCGGGCCTACGAGCGGCTGGATTACCTGCCCATGACCTCGCTGAACGTCGGGCTGCAAAGGCAGAACGACGGACTGTCGGAGGGGCAGGTGACCCGCAACGTCAAGCAGGCGGTGCTGTCAAGGCTGGGCGACCCCTCAGAGGACGACGTGATCATGGAGCTCTCGGAGGAGGTCTACCACCTCGACGCGGGTCGCGGGAGTGGACGCTGAGCTCGCAGACCACGCAGCACGTCGACAACCGCACGCTGGTGGAAACGAGCCTGCGGCAGCCGCTCGGTGCCCTGCGCGAGGTCTCTTACCAGCTCTTCAAGGGCGACGAGATCCTGGCCTCGGCCTTCGAGCAGCGGGACGACCAGCTCTGCGCGGCCCGGCAGCTGGCGGAGCTGCTGCGGCTGCCGCTGGAGGAGGTGCTCTCCGACTTCGACACCATCTGCGACCGCGGCTGGCAGGAGCGGGGCATCACGCCCGAGGAGATCCGCAAGTTCTGCGTCTGGCGGGGCGCGCCGATGCTCTTCGTGAACTGCCAGGGTCAGCTCCTGGACTCTTACCAGCCAGCCGTGAAGGAGGCGCGCGCCGTGGCCTTCACGGCCTGGCAGGGGCACGCCTTCTTCTACAAGAACGCTCGCAGCGTCTTCCAGTGCGACGACGCGGAGCGCCTGCGGCCCCGCTTCCGGTCGGAGCGGCGGGAGTCCACGGTGCCCGAGTTCGGCGCATGGCGAGAGTGGGACGGCGAACTCCGCGCAGGTCACTTCTGGACGCGGGAACTGCGGGCGGCGCGGGGCGCGCTGCTGGCCGCGGGGCACTGCCCCAGGGTGGCCATGCGCAGCCTCTGCAAGTGGCGCAGCCTGCGACTGCGGGCGGGCGAGGCGGACTGCGTCATCTGCGAGCTGCCCGACGATGCCGAGATGCTGCAGGCGTGGATGGAGCGCTTCGGGCTGAAGTACCGCGGCCAGAGGCTGGCCGGCGCCACCAACGAGGTCTTCTTGCACCTGCTCCGGGCGCAGCGCGAGGTGCCGCAGCAGCGGGAGCAGATCCTGGCCTCCCAGGGCGGCGCCTGCAAACTGTGCGGCGCGCCCATCGCCCTCGGCACCTGCGAGTTCGACCACGTGGTGCCGGTGAGCACCGCCTTCCGCGGGCAGATCCAGGAGTTCCAGGCGCTCTGCCACGAGTGCCACCGGCTCAAGACCAGCCTGGAAAACTCGCAAGCGACTGCGCTGGAGAGCCGCTTCAGCCCCGCGGCGTGCGAGGCCTATGTGAATTCGCCGAGGCTGCCCCCGCTGGTCTGCGGGCTGCAGAAGTGGAACGAGGACCGGGTCTGCTGGGGCGTGGACGTGGTGCGCTGCCGCAAGAACGGGCTGGCCAACGCGCGCTTCCCTCTGCCGGTGTTCTGCCCGCTGGATTCGGTGCAGGAGGCGCGGGAGGGCTGCCTGGCGGACTTGACCTATGTCAAGCTGCGGAAGGACGGGCGCGTGGCTTTGCTGAGCCGGCTGCCGTACGTGGGCGAGGGCTGGTACGCCAAGCCGGCGTGCGCCCACATGCTGGAGGCCGGCGTTGCGACGTGGCAGGACTTCCTCTGGAGCCTGGACGCCACCGCGCACGTGGTCCCGAGCTGCCTTGCCTGGGCGCTTCGCAAGATGGAGCAGGCCTGGCCCGAGGAGCACCTGGCCAAGCTGAGCGTCAACGCTCTGATCGGCCTGTGGGCGCGCAACGTGGACCTTATCTACCTGATGCGCACCTCGAACAACCAGCTCGATGGCCACGGTTGCCAGTACCGGCAGACCTTCGTGGATGCGGCCGGCAAAACGCAGTGGGACCACATCTTCGTGACGCAGCTCTTCAGCAACGCCTCGCATCGGCCCGCTTGGGACTTCGTCATGGCGGCGGAGTACTGCGCCGTGGCCCGGATTCGACAGATGCTGGCGGAGGTGCCGATGCGCTACCTCAAGTTCCTGAAAACCGACTGCCTGGGCTTGCAGGACCTGCCCAAGAAGTACTGGCCTGCGGTGGAGCGGCTCACGCGCCTGCGCCACCCCGACGGCACGCCGGTCTACAAGTGCGAGCAGGTCGAGCAGCTGCGCGGGCGCCACTTCGAGCCGGAGATCCAGGCCGGGCCGCCGCAGCACCGCGGCTGGGAGCAAGTGGACGACCCGCTGGCCCACTGTCTGCAGGGTCGCAGCCTGCTGCTCACCGGGCTGCCCGGCACGGGGAAGACGCACCTCGCGAGGCGCGTCGTGGAGCAGCTGCGGGAGGCCGGTGACGTGGTGCAGCTGGTCTCGAAGACCCACTGCGCGGCGCAGAACTTGGGTTTGGGGGCTCAGACTGCCGACCACTGGGTGCGTCGCACGGTGCGCAACGGCCGCTGCCAGCTCGACTGGCTGGTGATCGAGGAAGTCACGCAGATGGACACGGGGCTCTGGGCCGACGTGGCCTGCGTGGCGCTGGATCGCGGCGTGCGCTTCCTGCTCATGGGCGATTTCCGGCAGCTGCCGGCGGTGCTCGACAGCTTTGCCGGGGCCCGCGTGGAGCGGCCGCTGAAGGACAGCGACCTGCTGCGGGACCTGGCGGGCGGCTGCTGCCACGAGCTCACGGAGAACCGCCGCTCGGACGAGCGCATCTTCCGGTTCATCAGCTGGCTTCGGGTGGGCGAGCCCGAGGAGGTGCCCCTGGCCGAGGCCGTGAGGGTGGCGCGCCGCGAGTTCCCGCGGCCGCCGGGCGCGCACCCCGACGTGTGCCTGGTGCTCTCGCACGCGCACCGCGTACAGGTCAACGAGCGGGAGAACAGGCGCCTGGCGCCCGCGGACGCCGTGGTGATCGAGCACCAGGCGCCGGGCGCGCCCACGACCAACGCCCCGCAGTCGATGCGAGTTTGGCCCGGGCTGCGGCTGGTGGGCGCCGGCGGCAAGGTGGCCAAGGGCACATTGCTCGCAGGCAGCTGAAAAGCATGTCACGTTTTTCTCTCAGGGCCGGATCACCAAGGCGCTCGCGTCCTTCTGGCTCCAAATGCAGCATGCGCGGATGACAGAGGTGTCCACGATGACGGGTTGACCTCTTTCTGGAACCACGTATGTCCAACCATGCACATGGGTCCATGGCACGACGCACGTGAGCGGCCGCTCTGCCACCTCGGCATGGAATTGGATCCGGCCAACGGTGGTAGTGCCCATGAAGGAGAACTCAACCACGTCGCCTCGGCTGCAGTGAAAGCCACCGCCATGCACGGCACGAAGTGCTTGAAAAACGTCGCCGTCACTGCGGAAGGTCTCCTGCATGAGTTTCTGCAATTGTTTGGTTGCTTTCGATTTCTGCAGCAGGCGAACCTCAGTTGATGGCATTTCGTCCTTCATAGCAGTGAGCTGCACCGCCATGATATCCATCAGTATGGATTCCTCATACTTCTTCTGCGTGTCTGCTTTCTGGGAAGCAAACCTTTTGATGATTTTATGTTTGCGCTCGTGCACAAAACAACTCAGGAGAGTGCCAAATCTTCTTAAAAACTCGGGCAGGTGCAGTCCCATGTGATGTTTCGGGACCCATGCTTCGTCGCCATATGCTTGCAAGTGGCATCGCGAGTGCTCAACAATTGCTGCTTCCAACTCCGATGCTGTAGTGGAGCCGCCTCTCGCCACGGTTTGCAAAAGATCCAGCACTCGGGCCATGAGCAGGAAAGAGCGACAGACAGACTGGGTGCCTGCACCAACGTTTCCAC